AAAAAAGTTTTTTTACTCTTTATTGGCCATTTCTTTCGCATTTGTTTTTATTTTCTTGACATATTTGTTCATCCAACTTTCTCTTCTCATTTATTTTTAGCTACTGTTTTGTTTTTGCTCAACTGTCAAGCGCTTCTTCACTTATCGTATGCAGCGCTTTTGCTCAGCTTATTTTATACTCTGTCCTCTTTTCAGAACTCTGATACAGTAAACATTTTTAACAAACGAACTGTTTAATGGAAAATGTAAACAGTGTTTTTGACGACCTTGAAAATCAATTTATTATTCTTTTCCAAAGCTGTAATTGTAATCTACTGCTTAGACAGATATTTGTGACCAGCAGTGAAATTTAACTCGTAAACCTTGCAAAATCACAGTATCATTTCATTGTCAGCCAAATACACTGTTTATAATCAACAAATTCTGCAACCTAAACTTTTATCAATATCGTGCTGACTGGAACTAAACTTTAATCAAATTGATTCTTGTATTTCATGATGATGAACATGCTATGAACACCTACAGTAAACTTGAGGCACGTCAAATAGATTATTAAGGGTTAAAGATGTGAAAACTTTTGAATTTTGTGTACCATAATAGCTTTCAGCGATACATAGATTAATTCATTAAAATGAGAGGATGTTATTTTACAATTATACGGAAAAAGTACTCTATAGCAAAAAGAATATGCATGAGTAGCAAAATTTAGAATTTTTATCGTAAGTTCTTCCTCTCTATCATTAAACCAATTTTTCCATATGTAAAAGAAGAATAGAAGCTTATTTCGCTAAAATCAATTTGCATAATGTTTAATGACAATTTTAAACCAACTTTCAATAAAGCTAGTATTATGTTCGTCAATTATTCATAGATAATTGCACCAAAAAATTTTTGTTAACATGACAAAGGAAAGTGCAGATAAGTAGGTATGTGTTAACTGAAGGTTTAGCGAGATATTTCTATGCATGAAACACTTTCGCATTGATGTATTCAGCAAGCAGAATATTTATAGGCAATTTTTGCACATACGTATTTTCAAGTTTGCTTTATCTATAATTACATTTACTTCCTCCTTTTTTTTTTCTTTCTGTTCAATTACTTTGATCTCATTCAAACAAATACGAACCACGTGTTTGGAGTCCTATTACAACCAAAAAATTGGTGAACAAACAGTTGGTAACTACAAGTATTGTTTTCTTCAGTGCGACGTTTAACCAATATTTTCTTTGATATTTAAGGTACTATACCTTTCTGCTCTATTTTATGTCCTTTAAGCCAACCCACATGATATATAAAAGTTACATATAGAAATTTGGATTAACCAGCGATACTTTTATAGTTGGTGAACAGAAACTGCATTTTTCGTTTTTTTGAATTTCTTTGAATTTCTGCATTGAATCTTTTTTCAGATTTATAAGTGTTCTTTTCAAAAACTGTAGAAAAAAATTCCCATTTTATTAAAGCCTTACCAACATTACGTTTTTTGCACATGAACTATCAAAGTTTGTAAATCCAGTAGCTAATAGAATAGCTGAGATGTTAGAGACTGCGGAGGATTCCGACTGGAAGGTGAGCTGATAATTTGAAAGTGTTAGTTGCCAGAAGAAGATGTGAGTCGCTTAGTGCATAATATATCTTTTGGACATAATCTGACCTCACATTTTTTTATTGGCAGAAACATTGATCACCATGTTTTTGTTGTTTCCATGGAATTGTATGTGAAGATGAACTTTTGAAAGTAAATGAAAATTGTTGAAAGAACATTGACGGTTTATTTGCACTTAGGCGCATGAAGAAATGTCATTAAAAATACGCATATTTAAAATTTTCTTAGTACGTAGAGTAAAGTGATAAAACGGATCGAAAACCATGGAGGGCACTTAGTACCAAAATTATAAAGTATTTAAGTGGTGAAGGTACGTTTTGAGGAATAAAAGGTAAGCAACTAAGAGCAAATTTAGCTTAACTGCAGCAAAATTATATGGCTTTGGAATGTCGCCAACAAAAACATTTCCGCTTTTTATAAAGATTAATTCTGTGTAGCGGTTTAATAAAGCAGAAATTATCAGTGTAATTTAAGCATCTAAGCATTAAAGTATTTGTTAATGGATTTAAAACATGTTCAGTTTTCTTTTTCAATCGTATTTTATTTCTCGTTTATTTGATGTTTTGTATTTCCGTTTTTCAGTTGCTATTATTGTTGTCATTACTATTATGTAACTTTTGATTGTCGAAAAAGGAAATGATTAATAGTAACTGGTTTGAAGTTATCTCTATAGATCTTTTTTCCAAGTCTTTTTTGAGAGATGTACTCGGTTTAAGAAGGGTGAAAGAATTGCATTTTGTAATCGTGGAAGTTTCTGCCAATTTTTCACTGAAACGTTTAAAAACATCTTTTAAAGTTTTTAAACTTCAAATTGACAAATGCACTCATTTAAGTTGGGTATTGAAAATTACAAGTTTTTGTTAGTTTTTTCCTAAAACATTTAAAAATATCTTTGAAAGTCTTGAAACTTTAAATTAACAAATGGATGGCATGCTAGGCATTATGAATTACTATAAAGGTTCACTAATTTGCATAGGTGTCACAAGTTTCAGCCTGACCAAGCTTCACTTTTTTGTACTAAAGTTGGCAATTTATACAGCACAAAAGTAGACGCTTAAACTCGATGAAAAGACCTAAAAAAAATCTTTTTCTAAATTTCAACTTTGTAGGAGCTGTTTGAAAGCGACTGTTTGATTTTGCCGGGTCTTTTTTGTATGCTCCGTCCGTTACTGTAACCTTCCGAATATTTGTTCTTACTTTTGGTAGAAATGGTACTGAGTCTACAGATGTGGTCCAAGAGGTAAGACAGTGTTATATGGCGATGGGGCTCTTACAGTCACATTTTTCAAACCGCTCGATAGGAAAACCGGAAAATTCTGTTTTAGAAAGGAAATAAGGAGGGAAAGTGTGGTGACAGTGATTCACAAAAAATAAGCTTTAGTTAAAAAGTTGTATAAATACGAAAGAAGTTTTTTAAGAAACGGCGCGAGAAACTATGCATTAAAAGCAGAGTGGACTTTTAATGAATTAAGTTCAAGAAATGTCTGAAAGGTTGCGGCGCCGAAAGTCGCTTAAGTGAGGGTGGCCACTTTGCACGATCCATTGTTAATCGTGCTACAATTCGACACCATCGCATCAAATGCATACAGGTGCTTGTATTTAACCTCCGTTTTGGTCAGGTCGTCACATTTTTGTGGTGGAAAAACTCACTTTACATTAAGAAATACATTGCTGAAAATCCTGAATTTTTTACCGGAGCAAAGCAGTAAGAAAAAAAAAAAAAAAAAGAATTTGGAGTTTGTCTTACGGGCGGTGTAGAACCGGGTTTTTTTTTAATTTTAGTTGGTAACTGATGTTTAATATTTTTAAAATTGGCTCGGAAAAACTTTGTTGTATTTGTCTACTGTTACCGGAGTATTGTAAATGTATTTATTTAACTGTAAAATAGTAAGTAAGGCAGTATGAAGCAAAGCGTAACTTGGAATTTATGGAATTTCTCAAACTTCATGATGTCGCCCCTTACAAAAATCAATACGGCTTCTTATTCTCATGGACGAATCCGTGCGAAAGATGGATTTATTGTATTTTATGCAGTGCCACATTTTTATTAATTCCTCTAAAATTTTCACTGGATATAGTGTTGGCATGTTTTCATTTTGCAATTTGGAAGATGATTTAGTAGTTGAAATATGTTCCTTTTTTTGGGGTGAGACTTTAAACGGTTGCACAAGAAACTGCAGTCTGTGGAACCCATAACAAAATCAGAAGTCGGTTTCTGTAGTATTATCCAGTCGCATTGTTTCCGCCAAGTTGACCGCTTTTTTTTCACTCTCAATGCGTTCTTGATAGTAATTACTTTCAGAAATCATGGAGACAAAGCCGTCTCGAAAACTTTTGGATCTTTTTAGCGACCTAGCCGAATTTGATGACGATAAACGACAACAAGCAGTTGTTGGCATTGTAAATGGAGTAAGTTTTTGAAGTTTGTTTTTAAAAATAGCTCATTTGCTGTCTACTTAATGTTTTTAATGGCTTATCAACGTGGTTTAATATATATAAATATATACAGTTTTCGCACTTTTTGGATATCTCTGCTATAGCTGTATTTTGAACTCGTTTACTACAGTTCACAAGCTGCTAGATCAAACTTTTAAACCACTATGGTAATATAATATGAGAGAAAATTTTAGTTCCAAGCCGACGATGAATACTGCATTAATCGACTTTTGAGTGGACTAGCATCTTCTCATGCTGCAGCTCGTTTAGGATTTTCCTGCGCTCTAACTTTAATATTGTCTGCGGAATCTGAGACGTGGACTTCCGGGCGTTTGTTCAATATAATCGATGAGAAGTTAGCGCTTGAAAAAGAAGTATGTCGAAATTCAGGATAATGCAGTTTGCCTCCTGTCTAATAAACCAGCTACTTGTCTTTCACTCTATTCAATTTAAGGTCGTAGTGAACTGGTGCTGCAGTATGACCAACTGATTCTCATAATGTTTTTTGGTTTTATTTCTAATATGAGTGATATTTTAAGGAGCTTTTGCCTCATGCGATAGGTCAACATTTGGCGTACACCTCAATGATTAATAGTAATCG